CCAGAAATTTTACCCGTATTATGCAAAAGGCATGCGCACTTAAGAACTAATTTTGAAAACTTTAGATCGTAGGTGGGCAGTGAACTTCCCCTAAAATTTCAGTATCCTTGCATGTCTGCTTCCCCAGTTGAAGTTTTCTCTCCAAAAATTTCGTGCGCCTGCATGCGAGACTCAGACACGCAAGAAAGTTGCTAACGTGTTTCTGGGGTAGCGCTTAATTAGGAAACATTAGCAAAATTTCAGCGCCAAAACTTGCTTGATTTTCGAGCTAAAATGCCCGAACAGATGCAAATACACACCGATGCACACACGCACACACATACAAACACAAGCATACATACACACACCACATTTGATCACAATATGCGTTTTTGCATTTGCTTATATGCAACGAGGTGGAAAAGTGCACTGTGATCGTGCCACGCTAATGGCATTTCCTGATTCACAGCAATGTGGCAGCTGTCGCACGTTTGTGCAAAAAAGAAAGGCGAGCAAGGATAAAACTGCAACATGCACTGAAGGAAAACGTAAGTAAGGAATCTCTGTTTCATCGCCTAACTTGTTGTAATAGATCGCCTGGCACAGGCCGCTACCGCTGTGTGTGGAATTGACGACGATCTCTGAAAAACATGTATATTGATAAAAAATCACTCACTGAGGGAAGTAGCGCGTGTAATGAAGAAAAAACGCCATTGTTCTGCCGGCAATTCGAGAAGCGCAGTAGCTCATCGTACTGCTAATTTGTCGAACGAACTGCCCGGAAAACGGTTCCTGAAATAAACCCGGTACTTTCTGAAATAATTGAAGGTGCACGCAAGACGCATGAAACGAATCAGCAAGTTGCAGCACACCTTGAATTAAGAAAATGTAAGCCAAAAAAAAAAAAAAAAACAAACTGAACGAGTGGTATAAGAGCGAGAGATTACAGGAGAACAAAACAGATTACCTGGCAGTACACAAGTAGTCTTAGGCGGACATCAAAGACAGTCACCAATGCGACGAAAAGATCTACCCAACCGTCTAGACAGAATTATTTGTGTTCAAAACAGAGAAATGGAGAAGTTGTCAGCTGCATCAATGGCGAGAAGAAATGGAATGATGAAGCATGTGCTGGTCGAAGTATTACTAGCACGTGTTCGGGCTGGACACCGTTCCCCGGGATGACTAATTTCAATAATTCCAGCGAAATGGTCTTTCATCTTAAAGCCTCAAAAGTATACCGTGAAATACCTGGAGCACTGATGAGAAAGCTGTCCGTCTCTCAGCTCAACGTATTCCTTTCATTGTCTACTCGCTTCTTCTGCAGTTGCATCATCGACCCAACACAAGCTGATGGATTGCTCCGAACTTGCGTCATCAGTAGCATTTATCATGGAATTCGTTCCCTTTCGCTTTTTTTCCCGATGCATCATTACTCGCTCTCGTTCGTTTACATGCTCTTTCATCGCATCTGAAAATATTCCTTCCCATGATAGTCCACATCTCTCGGCCCACTCCATCTCCCGGCCCTCTTCTCGTCCATGGACATCGCGCAGGAATTTGGAAGAGAACTAGCAGGTGGGCCTGTAGCCACTACTCAAAGATGACATTTACTATGGCTTTGGGATATGTAAGTGTAAATTTCTGCCCAAAATGATGTAGGCTAACTTTACTTCTAATCGGATTTGTCCAAGTACAAACGAATAAATTAAGATAACGCATACAATGACTAAGCTTAAGTCTTTTTTTGTTAAAAATATGCATGAAATCGGCGGTTACTTGGCCGCGTGAAGAGCCCAACAGAGAGATACATACACAATCATTCTTTATTATGCACTCACTGAAGAACAAAATTTTGTTCCTAATTTCACACAAAGAAAAACAAATGAATATGATGACTATTCATGAAAATTGAGGTAAATTCCAGGGAAATCATAAGTGAGGGGAAGTTTTCCAGGTAAAACATGGAAATTATCCACATGACAAACCCCACGCTCTTCTGATCGAAGATCAATAA